AAGGTATTTTACTCTGTAGTGAGTGTTACAAATTCTAGTTATTAAGGCAACGTTGGCGGCTGAGCCTATATTGTGAGTTAAGGTTAGTAGTGACATGAATGGTTCACTCCCACTATGGCAGCCAGACACTCTCATTGGCTGTTTGTAAACGCAGTTTGTTGTGATGAGTCAATGACTCTTTACCCGCCTTCACCATGTAGAAGTACACTAATTAGCATCTGTGTACCTTAGAATGTGGACTATTGCTTCATATAGCAACTATATTATCTCTCTCTCTCTCTCTCTCTCTCTCTCTCTCTCTCTCTCTCTCTCTCTCTCTCTCTCTCTCTCTCTCTCTCTCTCTCTCTCTCTCTCTCTCTCTCTCTCTCTCTCTCTCTCTCTCTTCTCCCACTCTCTCTTCTCACATACAAAGTACCAGAGTCCCTGGAGTGGGCAACTTCACTCCCCCAAGACGCCCTAAGCCAAGAACACCACACGTGGCCCGCTCACCACCTCAACACCACCTTCATCACGCAACTCACAGTTCATGATAAAAGTTCATATGAACAAGTTACGGAAATTTTATCTGTTGTGACCTCTAAGAAGATATTAATTACGGTTGTAATTAGACTAGCTTAAGATATCTGTTAGACGCGACAGCTGCGAAGAGGTGCCGTAGAGAGCAGACTGGTTATCACTGTCAAGATAACCAGGCCAACACCAGGTGGGAGGAGCCGCAGAGAACAGACTGGTTATCACTGCCAAGATAACCAGGCCAACACCAGGCGGGAGGAGCCGCAGAGAACAGACTGGTTATCACTGCCAAGATAACCAGGCCAACACCAGGTGGGAGGAGCCGCAGAGAACAGACTGGTTATCACTGCCAAGATAACCAGGCCAACACCAGGTGGGAGGAGCCGCAGAGAACAGACTGGTTATCACTGCCAAGATAACCAGGCCAACACCAGGCGGGAGGAGCCGCAGAGAACAGACTGGTTATCACTGCCAAGATAACCAGGCCAACACCAGGCGGGAGGAGCCGCAGATAACAGACTGGTTATCACTGCCAAGATAACCAGGCCAACACCAGGCGGGAGGAGCCGCAGAGAACAGACTGGTTATCACTGCCAAGATAACCAGGCCAACACCAGGCGGGAGGAGCCGCAGAGAACAGACTGGTTATCACTGCCAAGATAACCAGGCCAACAAATACGATAAATACACAAGTGCTAAATATCTTCAAGATAAAATGAATGAGTTACAGCAGACATTAAGCCTCAAAGAACCTGCTGAGTCTGCTTCAGCACCGCTAATGATAGCTGGAAAACCTAAAAATTATTAATATATATTATATATATATATATATATATATATATATATATATATATATATATATATATATATATAATATGACTGAAGGCAGGTGTGTACCTGAGCTGTATGCTCCAGACTGTGCTGAGATCTGCTGCACCTCACCTATCAGGAAATAGGTACCCCTAGGGGGGAGGGGGGTGGACCTATATTCCCCCTACCACCAATGGACTATGTATATACACAGGCTTCCTGTCCCCCTCTTCTTCTAATTAGAACGGGAATTATTATTATTATTATTATTATTATTATTATTATTATTATTATATTACACACCTGGCTGAGGGCCAGGTGTGTGTAGGGTGCAGGTGTGGCCCACACCTGCCCCACACAAAGCGTGAGGGCCCAGGTGTGTGTAGGGTGCAGGTGTGGCCCACACCTGCCCCACACAAAGCGTGAGGACCCAGGTGTGTGTAGGGTGTAGGTGTGGCCCACACCTGCCCCACACAAAGCGTGAGGGCCCAGGTGTGTGTAGGGTGCAGGTGTGGCCCACACCTGCCCCACACAAAGCGTGAGGGCCCAGGTGTGTGTAGGGTGCAGGTGTGGCCCACACCTGCCCCACACAAAGCGTGAGGGCCCAGGTGTGTGTAGGGTGCAGGTGTGGCCCACACCTGCCCCACACAAAGCGTGAGGACCCAGGTGTGTGTAGGGTGTAGGTGTGGCCCACACCTGCCCCACACAAAGCGTGAGGGCCCAGGTGTGTGTAGGGTGCAGGTGTGGCCCACACCTGCCCCACACAAAGCGTGAGGGCCCAGGTGTGTGTAGGGTGCAGGTGTGGCCCACACCTGCCCCACACAAAGCGTGAGGACCCAGGTGTGTGTAGGGTGTAGGTGTGGCCCACACCTGCCCCACACAAAGCGTGAGGGCCCAGGTGTGTGTAGGGTGCAGGTGTGGCCCACACCTGCCCCACACAAAGCGTGAGGGCCCAGGTGTGTGTAGGGTGCAGGTGTGGCCCACACCTGCCCCACACAAAGCGTGAGGGCCCAGGTGTGTGTAGGGTGTAGGTGTGGCCCAGACCTGTCCCACATAGAGCATGAGGGCCCAGGTGTGTGTAGGGTGTAGGTGTGGCCCACACCTGCCCCACATAGAGCATGAGGGCCCAGGTGTGTGTAGGGTGCAGGTGTGGCCCACACCTGCCCCACACAAAGCGTGAGGGCCCAGGTGTGTGTAGGGTGTAGGTGTGGCCCACACCTGCCCCACATAGAGCATGAGGGCCCAGGTGTGTGTAGGGTGCAGGTGTGGCCCACACCTGCCCCACACAAAGCGTGAGGGCCCAGGTGTGAGGAACTAAGAATGAGGAGTGTTACAGGTGGACAAGAAGACCTGCTGGACGGGGGAGTGTCTGGCGGGCATGAGGTGTGAGTGGTGCGGCTACACCGTGCACGCTATGTGTGCTGACAAGCTGCCGGCTGACTGTACCTTCGGCCTCCTCGAGCCCATCATGCTCCCGCCCACTGCAGGTACTGTCATTATGCTCCCGCCCACTGCAGGTACTGTCATTATGCTCCCCGCCCACTGTAGGTACTGTCATTATGCTCCCCGCCCACTGTAGGTACTGTCATTATGCTCCCCGCCCACTGTAGGTACTGTCATTATGCTCCCGCCCACTGTAGGTACTGTCATTATGCTCCCGCCCACTATAGGTACTGTCATTATGCTCCCGCCCACTATAGGTACTGTCATTATGCTCCCGCCACTATAGGTACTGTCATTATGCTCCCCGCCCACTGTAGGTACTGTCATTATGCTCCCGCCCACTGTAGGTACTGTCATTATGTTCCCGCCCACTATAGGTACTATCATTATGCTCCCGCCCACTGCAGGTACTGTCATTATGCTCCCCGCCCACTGTAGGTACTGTCATTATGCTCCCGCCCACTGTAGGTACTGTCATCATGCTCCCGCCCACTGCAGGTACTGTCATTATGCTCCCGCCCACTGTAGGTACTATCATTATGCTCCCCGCCCACTGTAGGTACTGTCATTATGCTCCCCGCCCACTGTAGGTACTGTCATTATGCTCCCGCCCACTGTAGGCACAATCACCATGCTCCCACCCACTGTAGGTACCATCACCATGCTCCCACCCACTGTAGGCACCATCACCATGCTCCCACCCACTGTAGGCACCATCACCATGCTCCCACCCACTGTAGGTACCATCACCATGCTCCCACCCACTGTAGGCACAATCACCATGCTCCCACCCACTGTAGGTACCATCACCATGCTCCCACCCACTGTAGGTACCATCACCATGCTTCCACCCACTGTAGGTACCATCACCATGCTCCCACCCACTGTAGGTACCATCACCATGCTCCAACCCACTGTAGGCACCATCACCATGCTCCCACCCACTGTAGGTACCATCACCATGCTCCCACCCACTGTAGGTACCATCACCATGCTCCCACCCACTGTAGGCACCATCACCATGCTCCCACCCACTGTAGGTACCATCACCATGCTCCCACCCACTGTAGGTACCATCACCATGCTCCCACCCACTGTAGGTACCATCACCATGCTCCCACCCACTGTAGGTACCATCACCATGGTCCCACCCACTGTAGGTACCATCAACATGCTCCCCGCCCACTGTAGGTACCATCAACATGCTCCCCGCCCACTGTAGGTACCATCAACATGCTCCCCGCCCACTGTAGGTACCATCACCATGCTCCCCGCCCACTGTAGGTACCATCACCATGCTCTCCGCCCACTGTAGGTACCATCACCATGCTCCCACCCACTGTAGGCACCATCACCATGCTCCCACCCACTGTAGGCACCATCACCATGCTCCCACCCACTGTAGGCACCATCACCATGCTCCCACCCACTGTAGGCACCACCACCATGCTCCCACCCACTGTAGGCACCATCACCATGCTCCCACCCACTGTAGGTACCATCACCATGCTCCCCGCCCACTGTAGGTACCATCACCATGCTCCCACCCACTGTAGGTACCATCACCATGCTCCCACCCACTGTAGGTACCATCACCATGCTCCCCGCCCACTGTAGGTACCATCACCATGCTCCCCGCCCACTCTAGGTACCATCACCATGCTCCCACCCACTGTAGGTACCATCACCATGCTCTCCGCCCACTGTAGGTACCATCAACATGCTCCCACCCACTGTTGGTACCATCACCATGCTCTCCGCCCACTGTAGGTACCATCAACATGCTCCCACCCACTGTAGGTACCATCACCATGCTCTCCGCCCACTGTAGGTACCATCACCATGCTCCCACCCACTGTAGGCACCATCACCATGCTCCCACCCACTGTAGGTACCATCACCATGCTCTCCGCCTACTGTAGGCACCATCACCATGCTCCCACCCACTGTAGGCACCATCACCATGCTCCCACCCACTGTAGGTACCATCACCATGCTCCCCGCCCACTGTAGGTACCATCACCATGCTCCCACCCACTGTAGGTACCATCACCATGCTCCCACCCACTGTAGGTACCATCACCATGCTCCCCGCCCACTGTAGGTACCATCACCATGCTCCCCGCCCACTCTAGGTACCATCACCATGCTCCCACCCACTGTAGGTACCATCACCATGCTCTCCGCCTACTATAGGCACCATCACCATGCTCCCCGCCCACTGTAGGTACCATCACCATGCTCCCACCCACTGTAGGTACCATCACCATGCTCCCCGCCCACTGTAGGTACCATCACCATGCTCTCCGCCCACTGTAGGTACCATCAACATGCTCCCCGCCCACTCTAGGTACCGTCACCATGCTCCCCGCCCACTGTTCACTAACACTTACGACCTTCCAGTGAGTATCCCGCGGACGGAGGTGCCAATGGAAGCGATCATTGGCGTCCAGACCAGGAGGAAGGACACCCTATCACGTGAGTTATAGTTATACGCGTGCTCCTGGCCTCCTCCCTCCATCCTCCTGGCCTCCAGGTGGTCTCCCTCCATCCTCCTGGCCTCCTCCTGGCCTCCAGGTGGCCTCCCACCATCCTCCTGGCCTCCAGGTGGCCTCCCACCATTTTTCTGGCCTCCAGGTGGCCTCCCATCATCCTCCTGGTCTCCAGGTGACCTCCCACCATCCTCCTGGTCTCCAGGTGGCCTCCCACCATCCTCCTGGTCTCCAGGTGGCCTCCCACCATCCTCCTGGTCTCCAGACGGCCTCCCACCATCCTCCTGGTCTCCAGGTGGCCTCCCAACATCCTCCTGGTCTCCAGGTGGCCTCCCACCATTTTTCTGGCCTCCAGGTGGCCTCCCACCATCCTCCTGGTCTCCAGGTGGCCTCCCACCATCCTCCTGGTCTCCAGGTGGCCTCCCACCATCCTCCTGGTCTCCAGGTGGCCTCCCACCATCCTCCTGGTCTCCAGGTGGCCCCCCACCATCCTCCTGGCCTCCTGCTGGTCTCCCACCATCCTCTTGGTCTCCAGGTGGCCTCCCACCATCCTCCTGATCTCCAGGTGGCCTCCCACCATCCTCCTGGCCTCCAGGTGTCCTCCCACCATCCTCCTGGCCTCCTGCTGGTCTCCCACCATCCTCCTAGCCTCCTGCTGGCCTCCCACCATCCTCCTGGCCTCCAGGTGGCCTCCCACCATTTTTCTGGCCTCCAGGTGGCCTCCCACCATCCTCCTGGTCTCCAGGTGGCCTCCCACCATCCTCCTGGTCTCCAGGTGGTCTCCCACCATTTTTCTGGCCTCCAGGTGGCCTCCCACCATCCTCCTGGTCTCCAGGTGGCCTCCCACCATCCTCCTGGTCTCCAGGTGGCCTCCCACCATCCTCCTGGCCTCCTGCTGGTCTCCCACCATCCTCTTGGTCTCCAGGTGGCCTCCCACCATCCTCCTGGTCTCCAGGTGGCCTCCCACCATCCTCCTGGCCTCCAGGTGTCCTCCCACCATCCTCCTGGTCTCCAGGTGGCCTCCCACCATCCTCCTGGTCTCCAGGTGGCCTCCCACCATCCTCCTGGTCTCCAGGTGGCCTCCCACCATCCTCCTGGTCTCCAGGTGGCCTCCCACCATCCTCCTGGTCTCCAGGTGGCCTCCCACCATCCTCCTGGTCTCCAGGTGGCCTCCCACCATCCTCCTGGTCTCCAGGTGGCCCCCCACCATCCTCCTGGGCCTCCCACCATCCTCTTGGTCTCCAGGTGGCCTCCCACCATCCTCCTGGTCTCCAGGTGGCCTCCCACCATCCTCCTGGTCTCCAGGTGGCCTCCCACCATCCTCCTGGTCTCCAGGTGGCCTCCCACCATCCTCCTCCTCCAGGTGGCCTCCCACCATCCTCCTGGTCTCCAGTGGCCTCCCACCATCCTCCTGTCTCCAGCCTCCCACCATCCTCCTGGTCTCCAGCTGGCCTCCCACCATCCTCCTGGCCTCCTGCTGGCCTCCCACCATCCTCCTGGCCTCCTGCTGGCCTCCCACCATCCTCCTGGCCTCCAGGTGGCCTCCCACCATCCTCCTGGCCTCCAGGTGGCCTCCCACCATCCTCCTGGCCTCCTGCTGGACTCCCACCATCCTCCTGGCCTCCTGCTGGTCTCCCACCATCCTCCTAGCCTCCTGCTGGCCTCCCACCATCCTCCTGGCCTCCTGCTGGTCTCCCACCATCCTCCTGGCCTCCTGCTGGTCTCCCACCATCCTCCTGGCCTCCTGCTGGTCTCCCACCATCCTCCTGGCCTCCTGCTGGTCTCCCACCATCCTCCTAGCCTCCTGCTGGCCTCCCACCATCCTCCTGGCCTCCTGCTGGTCTCCCACCATCCTCCTGGCCTCCTGCTGGTCTCCCACCATCCTCCTGGCCTCCTGCTGGCCTCCCACCATCCTCCTGGCCTCCTGCTGGTCTCCCACCATCCTCCTGGCCTCCTGCTGGTCTCCCACCATCCTCCTAGCCTCCTGCTGGTCTCCCACCATCCTCCTGGCCTCCTGCTGGTCTCCCACCATCCTCCTAGCCTCCTGCTGGTCTCCCACCATCCTCCTGGCCTCCTGCTGGTCTCCCACCATCCTCCTGGCCTCCTGCTGGCCTCCCACCATCCTCCTGGCCTCCAGGTGTCCTCCCACCATTCTCCTGGCCTCCTGCTGGTCTCCCACCATTCTCCTGGCCTCCTGCTGGTCTCCCACCATTCTCCTGGCCTCCTGCTGGTCTCCCACCATCCTCCTGGCCTCCTGCTGGTCTCCCACCATCCTCCTGGCCTCCTGCTCCTCCTCCCACCATCCTCCTGGCCTCCTGCTGGTCTCCCACCATTCTCCTGGCCTCCTGCTGGTCTCCCACCATCCTCCTGGCCTCCTGCTGGTCTCCCACCATCCTCCTGGCCTCCTGCTGGTCTCCCACCATCCTCCTGGCCTCCTGCTGGTCTCCCACCATCCTCCTGGCCTCCTGCTGGTCTCCCACCATCCTCCTGGCCTCCTGCTGGTCTCCCACCATTCTCCTGGCCTCCTGCTGGTCTCCCACCATCCTCCTGGCCTCCTGCTGGCCTCCCACCATCCTCCTGGCCTCTTGCTGGTCTCCCACCATCCTCCTGGCCTCCTGCTGGCCTCCCACCATCCTCCTGGCCTCCAGGTGTCCTCCCACCATCCTCCTGGCCTCCTGCTGGTCTCCCACCATCCTCCTGGCCTCCTGCTGGCCTCCCACCATCCTCCTGGCCTCCTGCTGGTCTCCCACCATCCTCCTGGCCTCCTGCTGGTCTCCCACCATCCTCCTGGCCTCCTGCTGGTCTCCCACCATCCTCCTGGCCTCCTGCTGGTCTCCCACCATCCTCCTGGCCTCCTGCTGGTCTCCCACCATCCTCCTGGCCTCCTGCTGGTCTCCCACCATCCTCCTGGCCTCCTGCTGGTCTCCCACCATCCTCCTGGCCTCCTGCTGGTCTCCCACCATCCTCCTGGCCTCCTGCTGGTCTCCCACCATCCTCCTGGCCTCCTGCTGGTCTCCCACCATCCTCCTGGCCTCCTGCTGGCCTCCCACCATCCTCCTGGCCTCCTGCTGGCCTCCCACCATCCTCCTGGCCTCCTGCTGGTCTCCCACCATCCTCCTGGCCTCCTGCTGGCCTCCCACCATCCTCCTGGCCTCCTGCTGGCCTCCCACCATCCTCCTGGCCTCCTGCTGGCCTCCCACCATCCTCCTGGCCTCCTGCTGGTCTCCCACCATCCTCCTGGCCTCCTGCTGGCCTCCCACCATCCTCCTGGCCTCCTGCTGGTCTCCCACCATCCTCCTGGCCTCCTGCTGGCCTCCCACCATCCTTATTCATAGTTGTATATCTGTTGTGTATTATTGCGTAACAATAATAATAATAATAACAATAAAAAAATTAATAATAATATTATCAACTATGTTGTTTATTCCCTGCCTGACTGTGCCGCACTGTGCGCGACTGTGCCACACTGTGCGCGACTGTGCCACACTGTGCCACACTGTGCGCGACTGTGCCACACTGTGCCACACTGTGCGCGACTGTGCCACACTGTGCCACACTGTGCACGACTGTGCCACACTGTGCGCGACTGTGCCACACTGTGCGCGACTGTGCCACACTGTGCCACACTGTGCGCGACTGTGCCACACTGTGCCACACTGTGCGCGACTGTGCCACACTGTGCCACACTGTGCGCGACTGTGCCACACTGTGCCACACTGTGCACGACTGTGCCACACTGTGCGCGACTGTGCCACACTGTGCGCGACTGTGCCACACTGTGCGCGACTGTGCGCAACTGTGCCACACTGTGCGCGACTGTGCGCGACTGTGTGCGGCCCGCAGCACGCAGCATATCAGAAGAGTTCACGAGCGGCGACTACAAGGTGCGGGACACAGAGGAGCCGGCCAGAGACCGCACCAAAGACAGAGATGAGAAGGACGAAGGTGAGGCCCTCTCACCCTACACCCTCACCACTCACCCTACACCGTCACCTCTCACCCTACACCCTCACCACTCACCCTACACCCTCACCTCTCACCCTACACCCTCACCTCTCACCCTTACCTTCACCTCTCACCCTACACCCTCACCTTTCACCGTACACCCTCACCTCTCACCCTACACCTTCACCTCTCACCCTACACCCTCACCACTCACCCTACACCCTCACCACTCACCCTACACCCTCACCTCTCACCCTACACCCTCACCACTCACCCTACACCCTCACCACTCACCCTACACCCTCACCTCTCACCCTACACCCTCACCACTCACCCTACACCGTCACCTCTCACCCTACACCGCCACCACTCACTCTACACCCTCACCTCTCACTCTACACCCTCACCTCTCACTCTACACCCTCACCTCTCACCCTACACCCTCACCTCTCACCCTACACCGTCACCTCTCACCCTACACCGTCACAACTCACCCTACACCGTCACCACTCACCCTACATCGTCACCACTCACTCTACACCGTCACCACTCACTCTACACCGTCACCACTCACCCTACACCGTCACCACTCACCCTACACCCTCACCACTCACCCAACACCGTCACCTCTCACCCTCACCACTCACCCTACACCGTCACCACTCACCCAACACCGTCACCTCTCACCCTACACCGTCACCACTCACCCTACACCGTCACCACTCACCCTACACCCTCACCACTCACCCAACACCGTCACCACTCACCCTACACCCTCACCACTCACCCTACACCGTCACCTCTCAACATGTGTGAGGCGTGAGACAGGTGAGTGATCACCAGGTATGGTGGACGTGTGAGAAGTGATGACCGTGTGAAGAGTACAACTGAAGTTGACAAGTGTGACAGATTTGCGACGAGTATTGCCCGGTCTGACAGGTGTGTGACGGACGTTTACAGGTGTGTAACACGTGTCTTCCCCCCCCTCAACAGAGGTGGTAAAGGTGTTTGATGGGAACAGTTCGCTGCGACGTCGCATGTTCCGGCTGGTGACGGTGTCGCGAGCGGCGAGCGTGTCGGAGTTCCTGACGGCGGCGATGCGGGCGTTCCACGTGCCGCAGGAGAACACCAAGACCTACCTGACGGATGCTTACTCCGCCGAGGAGACCGAGCTCACTGACCCGCTGCCGGTCACCAAGCTCACACGACGAGACGGCAAGAGGCCAGCAGTCTTCCTCAGATACAGGTACGCTCGCTCACTCACTCTCATGTACGCATTTACTCATTCAAACACTCATTGACTGCAATGCTGTAAATGTCCAAGGAAGAAATAGCAGTATAAAAACAATATAAAACAAATGAACTGAATGATGTGTTAGAGGGAGCCAGGTAGTCAAGGGATTTAGCCAGATTTAAACGATTGAGGTTTCACTTAATATCTAAAGCGCATCTAAATGTCTTGTAAAAGTAAGAGTAGTTGTAGAGAAGTGATTCTATGGTGAGCCAGGGAGTACATGAAGCCGTGGCGAGTAGTGGTAGGCAGCGAGAAGAGTGAGTGGCAGCAGGTTGTCGAGGTGTTTAGTCGTTCAAGCACGAGAAGCACAGTGTTCACGACCATAGAACTCTGGACCAGAGGACACGGGTGGAAGCTGGAGACACGGACGACTCTGAGAGAACTCCGGACCAGAGGACACGGGTGGAAGCTGGAGACACGGACGACTCTGAGAGAACTCCGGACCAGAGGACACGGGTGGAAGCTGGAGACACGGACGACTCTGAGAGAACTCCGGACCAGAGGACACGGGTGGAAGCTGGAGACACGGACGACTCTGAGAGAACTCCGGACCAGAGGACACGGGTGGAAGCTCCAGACACGGACGACTGTGAGAGAACTCCGGACCAGAGGACACGGGTGGAAGCTCCAGACACGGACGACTGTGAGAGAACTCCGGACCAGAGGACACGGGTGGAAGCTGCAGACACGGACGACTGTGAGAGACGTCAGGAATAACGCCTCCACCGTAAGACACAGTCAATGAACCGGACTACAAGAGATCACTGAAGACAATTCAATAAGCCACTTTAGCAAGCAAAATAATGACAAATAGTTGGAATAAAATGTGTCATGTTAGTTGCCACATGGAGCAGATGTGTGACACGTGTGTTGCCACATGGAGCAGAGAGGCTCTAGTGATGCTCAGGTGTGGGAGTGACCCGACCTGATAGCTATAGGGACAGATGTGGGAGCCACACGCGGTGACAGGTGTGGACACCACCCGAGGTAACAGTTGGAGGGAGGCGGCAGGAAGATGCTGGGAGTATACTGAGTGGTGGGTGTTGGTGGTGTTGCAGGGAGAAGGACAACGACGAAGGGTGTATCCGGGTGTACCCGTCACGCCTGGGGGGCGCCGTGGTGATGGACCAGACGGTGCTGCCCGTCACCTCCGCCACCTGCGTCACAGACATCATCGCCCACGCCCTCAACAAGTTCGGTCTCCCTCACAGCAAGCCCGAGGACTACCGCCTCGTCGAGGTCATGCTTGATAAGGGCGGTGAGTTACCTGTTCTGTGGTGTGTTGTTGTTGGTGTACAGCTGGGTGTACTGTGGTGTGTGTTGGTGTACAGCTGGGTGTACTGTGGTGTTGGTGTACAGCTGGTTGTACTGTGGTGTTGGTGTACAGCTGGGTGTACTGTGGTGTTGGTGTACAGCTGGGTGTACTGTGGTGTGTGTTGGTGTACAGCTGGATGTACTGTGTTGTGTGTTGGTGTACAGCTGGGTGTACTATAGTGTGTTGTTGGTGTACAGCTGGGTGTACTATAGTGTGTTGGTGTACAGCTGGATGTAGTGTGGTGTACAACTGAGTGTAGTGTGGTGTACAGCTGGATGTAGTGTGGTGTACAGCTGAGTGTAATGTGGTGTACAGCTGAGTGTACTGTGGTGTACAGCTGAGTGTAGTGTGGTGTACAGCTGGGTGTACTGTGGTGTACAGCTGGGTGTAGTGTGGTGTACAGCTGGGTGTACTGTGGTGTACAGCTGAGTGTAGTGTGGTGTACAGCTGAGTGTAATGTGGTGTACAGCTGAGTGTAGTGTGGTGTACAGCTGAGTGTAGTGTGGTGTACAGCTGAGTGTAATGTGGTGTACAGCTGGGTGTAGTGTGGTGTACAGCTGAGTGTAGTGTGGTGTACAGCTGAGTGTAGTGTGGTGTTCATCATAAGTAATTAACCTGGTACAGCTTGAACACTACACTGTTCACGTGTTTACTTACATAATATTGAACAGCTTACGTGAACAAAATAAGTTAGATCTTAGCAAGGTTATCAGTGATTCTTTACTAAGAACCTAAGTAAAGGTTGTGTACACCCAGCAAGTGTACACACCTGCTAGGTGTGTAGTGGTGTCTTACACCTTCATCACACCACCACACCAGTACTCTCACCATTACAACAGTACTCTTACCACCACACCAGTACCCTCACCACTAGTCCAGTACCTGTGCCCACAGTGTCGGAGCGGGTGATGGAGAGCACAGAGCGACCATGGGACCTCCTGAAGGCGGTGGGGCGTGACAGCATCCGTCAGATGGAGATGACTCGCTTCTACCTGCAGCTGGTGAAGGACCCCCACGGTCCCAGCATCGCCCTCTTCGTCGGCAGCCTCCCGCCAAACCTCTCCCAGCGCCAATATGAGAACATCCTGGCTGACATCGTAGGCAAAGGTACCTCCCTTACCCCCTCCTCACCTTTTGCCTCATTCTCTCAACTCATAGTACTCATGTCACCCATACCGCCCTCCTCATCCATCTCCCATCGTGTCACACGAGTCCACGGTATGACACGAGTCTAACATCACCTGGTACTTCCTCAGCCGGCTACAAGTACTCCAGCATCGGCCCCATCTACTACGAGTACGGCTCAATGGTGATTACTTACGAGGACTCGGATCTGGCCGTCAGGGCATTCTACACCCTTAGAGAGTCCTGCTACGACGACAAGAACCTGCTGGGTAGGTATCGCTGCTTCCTGCTGGTGGTCGGTCTGCTTGTAAGACCGCATTGGTTATCCCTCAGTTGTTGAGTCTTAGGGACTCCAGGTCTGATCTGGTGAGTCTTAGGGACCCCCAGGTGTGATCTGGTGAGTCTTAGTGACCCCAGGTCTGATCTGGTGAGTCTTAGTGACCCCAGGTGTGATCTGGTGAGTCTTAGTGACCCCAGGTCTGATCTGGTGAGTCTTAGTGACCCCAGGTCTGATCTGGTGAGTCTTAGTTACCCCAGGTCTGATCTGGTGAGTCTTAGTGACCCCAGGTCTGATCTGGTGAGTCTTAGTGACCCCAGGTCTGATCTGGTGAGTCTTAGTGACCCCCAGGTCTGATCTGGTGAGTCTTAGTGACCCCCAGGTCTGATCTGGTGAGTCTTAGTGACCCCAGGTCTGATCTGGTGAGTCTAGTGAGCTAAACTATCTTGTGCCCTACATTACACTGCCCTACACTACACTGTGCCCTACACCGTGCCCTACACTGTGCCCTACATTACACTGCCCTACACTACACTGTGCCCTACACCGTGCCCAACACTGTGCCCTACACTGTACCCTACACTGTGCCCTACACTGTACCCTACACTGTGCTCTACACTGTGCCCTACACTGTGCCCTACACCGTGCCCTACACTGTGCCCTACACTGTACCCTACACCGTGCCCTACACTGTGCCCTACACTGTGCCCTACACCGTGCCCTACACTGTGCCCTACACTGTGCCCTACACTGTACCCTACACTGTGCCCTACACTGCCCTACACTGTGCCATACACCGTGCCCTACACTGTGCCCTACACTGTACCCTACACCGTGCCCTACACTGTGCCCTACACTGTACCCTACACTGTACCCTACACCGTGCCCTACACTGTGCCCTACACTGTACCCTACACCGTGCCCTACACTGTGCCCTACACTGTGCCCTACACTGTGCCCTACACTGTGCCCTACACTGTGCCCTACACTACACTGTGCCCTACACTGTGCCCTACACTGTGCCCTACACTGTACCTTACACTTTGCCCAACAATGTTCCCTACACCGTGCCCTACACCGTGCCCTATACTGTGTCCTACACTGTGCCCTACACTGTGCCCTACACTGTGCCCTACACTGTGCCCTACACTGTACCGTACACTGTGCCCTACACTACACTGTGTCCTACACTGTGCCCTACACTACACTGTACCCTACACTACACTGTGCCCTACACTACACTGTGCCCTACACTACACTGTGTCCTACACTGTGCCCTACATTGTGCCCTACACTACACTGAGCCCTACACTACACTGTACCCTACACTACACTGTGCCCTACACTACACTGTGCCCTACACTACACTGTGTCCTACACTATACTGTGCCCTACACTACACTGTGTCCTACACTGTGCCCTACATTGTGCCCTACACTACTCTGTGCCCTACACTGTGCCCTACATTGTGCCCTACACTACTCTGTGCCCTACACTGTGCCCTACACTGTGCCCTACATTGTGCCCTACATTGTGCCCTACACTACTCTGTGCCCTACACTGTGCCCTACATTGTGCCCTACACTACTCTGTGCCCTACACTGTGCCCTACACTGTGCCCTACACTGTGCCCTACATTGTGCCCTACACTACTCTGTGCCCTACACTGTGCCCTACATTGTGCCCTACACTACACTGTGCCCTACACTGTGCCCTTCACTACACTGTGCCCTACACTGTGCCCTAGACTACACTGTGCCCTACACTGTGCCCTACACTGTGCCCTACATTGTGCCCTACACTACACTGTGCCCTACACTGTGCTCTACACTGTGTCCTACACTGTGCCCTACATTGTGCCCTACACTACACTGTGCCCAACACTGGGCCCTACACTGTGCCCTACACTGTCTTACACTGTGTCCTACACTGTGCCCTACACTGTGCCCTACACTGTGCCCTTCACTACACTGTGCCCTACACTGTGCCCTACACTGTGCCCTAGACTACACTGTGCCCTACACTGTGCCCTACACTGTGTCCTACACTGTGCCCTACACTGTGCCCTACACTGGGCCCTACACTGTGCCCTACACTGTGCCCTACACTGTGCCCTACACTGTTCCCTAGACTACACTGTGCCCTACACTACACTGTGCCCTACACTGTGCCCTACACTGTGCCCTACACTGGGCCCTACACTGTGCCCTACACTGTGCCCTACACTGTGCCCTACACTGTGCCCTAGACTACACTGTGCCCTACACTGTGCCCTACACTGTGCCCTACACTGTGCCCTACACTGTGCCCTAGACTACACTGTGCCCTACACTGTGCCCTACACTGTGCCCTACACTGTGCCCTAGACTACATTGTGCCCTACACTACACTGTGCCCTACACTGTGCCCTTCACTACACTGTGCCCTAGACTACACTGTGCCCTACACTGTGCCCTACACTGTGCCCTAGACTACACTGTGCCCTACACTGGGCCCTACACTGTGCCCTATACTGTGCCCTATACTGTGCCCTACACTGGGCCCTACACTGTGCCCTACACTGTGCCCTACACTGTGCCCTACACTGTGCCCTACACTACACTGTGCCCTACACTACACTGTGCCCTACACTGTGCCCTACACTGTGCCCTACACTGTGCCCTACACTACACTGTGCCCTACACTGTGCCCTACACTGTGCCCTACACTGTGCCCTACACTACACTGTGCCCTACACTACACTGTGCCCTACACTGGGCCCTACACTGTGCCCTACACTGTGCCCTACACTGTGCCCTACACCGTGCCCTACACTGTGCCCTACACTGTGCCCTACACTACACTGTGCCCTACACTACACTGTGCCCTACACTACACTGTGCCCTACACTGTGCCCTACACTACACTGTGCCCTACACTGGGCCCTACACTGTGCCCTACACTGGGCCCTACACTGTGCCCTACACTGTGCCCTACACTGTGCCCTACACTACACCGTGCCCTACACTACACTGTGCCCTACACTACACTGTGCCCTACACTGGGCCCTACACTGTGCCCTACACTGGGCCCTACACTGTGCCCTACACTGTGCCCTACACTGTGCCCTACACTACACTGTGCCCTACACTACACTGTGCCCTACACTACACTGTGCCCTACACTGGGCCCTACACTGTGCCCTACACTGGGCCCTACACTGTGCCCTACACTGTGCCCTACACTGTGCCCTACACTGTGCCCTACACTACACTGTGCCCTACACTACACTGTGCCCTACACTACACTGTGCCCTACACTGGGCCCTACACTGTGCCCTACACTGGGCCCTACACTGTGCCCTACACCGTGCCCTACACTGTGCCCTACACCGTGCCCTACACTGTGCCCTACACTGTGCCCTACACTGTGCCCTACACCGTGCCCTACACTGTGCCCTACACCGTGCCCTACACTGTGCCCTACACTGTGCCCTACACTGTGCCCTACACTGTGCCCTACACTGTGCCCTACACTGTGCCCTACACTGTGCCCTACACTGTGCCCTACACTGGGCCCTACACTGTGCCCTACACTGGGCCCTACACTGTGCCCTACACCGTGCCCTACACTGTGCCCTACACCGTGCCCTACACCGTGCCCTACACTGTGCCCTACACCGTGCCCTACACTGTGCCCTACACTGTGCCCTACACTGTGCCCTACACTGTGCCCTACACTGTGCCCTACACTGTGCCCTACACTGTGCCCTACACTGTGCCCTACACTGTGCCCTACACTACACTGTGCCCTACACTGGGCCCTACACTGTGCCCTACACTGGGCCCTACACTGTGCCCTACACTGTGCCCTACACTGTGCCCTACACTGTGCCCTACACTGTGCCCTACACTGTGCCCTACACTGTGCCCTACACTACACTGTGCCCTACACCGTGCCCTAACCATCCACGGTGTCCACAGTGATGTTGCTGCCCAACATACAGCCTCAGATGATCCCTGAAGGAGTACAGCCTCTCCTCGTCTTCGTCAACGTCAAGTCTGGAGGCTGTCAGGGGCTCGAACTCATCACCTCCTTCAGGAAGCTCCTCAACCCATATCAAGTCTTCGACCTCGACAATGGCGGACCTCTGCCAGGGTGAGTACAGCTCTTGTGGGGGGGGGGGGTCGCTGAGGTGAATGTCTTCATCCTGGGGGATGGTGTATGTCGTATACACTAGGTCATATACCTGTGACTTAGTGTATTGTGCGTGTATACACTAGTGTATATATTGTATTCCTGCCGGCAGACTGTACGTCTTCCGGCAAGTTAAGAACTACAAGATCCTGGTGTGTGGAGGAGACGGCACCATAGGCTGGGTGCTACAGTGCCTGGACAACGTGGGTCAGGACTCGGAGTGCCAGCACCCTGCCTGTGCCATAGTGCCCCTGGGGACCGGAAACGACCTGGCCAGGGTCCTCCGGTGGGGTCCCGGCTACAATGGCGGCGAAGACCCCATCAATCTCCTGAAGGACGTCATCGACGCCGAGGACATCCGCCTGGACCGTTGGACCGTGGTCTTCCACCAGGACGAGAAGGTCGAGGACAAGCAGACCCAGACCAACTCTACAGGTAAGACCACACCGCTCCCGCCCTCACTGCCGCGGGGCCTCCTACACCCACTGCGACACCCAGACCTACAGCACCAACACTCAGACCTATGGGAGGCAACACTCAGACCTATGGGGGGGGGGGGTACACTCAGACCTATGGGAGCAATAGTCAGACCTATGGGGGGCAACACTCAGACCTATGGGGAGGAGGTACACTCAGACTTATGGGAGCAATACTCAGACCTATGGGGGGGGGGTACACTCAGACCTATGGGAGCAATACTCAGACCTATGAGGGGGGGGGACACTCAGACCTATGGGGGGGGTACACTCAGACCTATGGGGGGTTACACTCAGACCTATGGGAACAATACTCAGACCTATGGGGGGGGGTACACTCAGACCTATGGGAGCAATACTCAGACCTATGGGGGGGGACACTCAGACCTATGGGGGGGGGTACACTCAGACCTATGGGAGCAATACTCAGACCTATGGGGGGGGTACACTCAGACCTATGGGAGCAATACTCAGACCTATGGGGGGGGGTACACTCAGACCTATGGGAGCAATACTCAGACCTATGGGGGGGGGGTACACTCAGACCTATGGGAGCAATACTCAGACCTATGGGGGGGTACACTCAGACCTATGGGAGCAATACTCAGACCTATGGGGGGGACACTCAGACCTATGGGAGCAATACTCAGACCTATGAGGGGGGGGACACTCAGACCTATGGGGGGGGTACACTCAGACCTATGGGGGGGACACTCAGACCTATGGGAGCAATACTCAGACCTATGAGGGGGGGGGACACTCAGACCTATGGGGGGGGGTACACTCAGACCTATGGGAGCAATACTCAGACCTATGAGGGGGGGGACACTCAGACCTATGGGGGGGGTACACTCAGACCTATGGGGGGGTACACTCAGACCTATGGGAGCAATACTCAGACCTATGAGGGGGGGGACACTCAGACCTATAGGGGGGGCAACACTTAGACCTATGGGGGTGTACACTCAGACCTATGGGGGGAGGGAACACTCAGACCAACTGTAGAACACTCAGACCAACTGTAGAACACTCAGACCAACTGTAGAACTCTCAGACCAACTGTACAACTCTCAGACCAACTGTAGAACACTCAGACCAACATATAGAACACTCAGACCAACTGTAGAACACTCAGACCAACTATAGAACACTCAGACCAACATGTAGAACACTCAGACCAACTGTAGAACACTCAGACCAACTGTAGAACACTCAGACCAACTGTAGAACTCTCAGACCAACTGTACAACTCTCAGACCAACTGTAGAACACTCAGACCAACATGTAGAACACTCAGACCAACTGTAGAACACTCAGACCAACATGTAGAACACTCAGACCAACATGTTGAACACTCAGACCAACTGTAGAACTCTCAGACCAACTGTACAACTCTCAGACCAACTGTAGAACACTCAGACCAACATGTAGAACAATCAGACCAACATGTTGAACACTCAGACCAACTGTAGAACTCTCAGACCAACTGTACAACTCTCAGACCAACTGTAGAACACTCAGACCAACATGTAGAACACTCAGACCAACTGTAGAACTCTCAGACCAACTGTACAACTCTCAGACCAACTGTAGAACACTCAGACCAACATGTAGAACACTCAGACCAACATGTAGAACACTCAGACCAACTGTAGAACTCTCAGACCAACTGTACAACTCTCAGACCAACTGTAGAACACTCAGACCAACATGTAGAACACTCAGACCAACTGTAGAACTCTCAGACTAACTGTACAACTCTCAGACCAACTGTACAACTCTCAGACCAACTGTACAACTCTCAGACCAACTGTAGAACACTCAGACCAACATGTTGAACACTCAGACCAACTGTAGAACTCTCAGGCCAACTGTACAACTCTCAGACCAACTGTAGAACACTCAGACCAACATGTAGAACACTCAGACCAACTGTAGAACTCTCAGACCAACTGTACAACTCTCAGACCAACTGTAGAACACTCAGACCAATATGTAGAACACTCAGACCAACATGTAGAACACTCAGACCAACATGTAGAACACTCAGACCAACATGTAGAACACTCAGACCAACATGTAGAACACTCAGACCAACTGTAGAACTCTCAGACCAACTGTACAACTCTCAGACCAACTGTAGAACACTCAGACCAACATGTAGAACACTCAGACCAACATGTAGAACACTCAGACCAACTGTAGAACTCTCAGACCAACTGTACAACTCTCAGACCAACTGTTGAACACTCAGACCAACATGTAGAACACTCAGACCAACTGTAGAACACTCAGACCAACATGTTGAACACTCAGACCAACTGTAGAACTCTCAGACCAACATGTTGAACACTCAGACCAACTGTACAACTCTCAGACCAACTGTAGAACACTCAGACCAACATGTTGAACACTCAGACCAACATGTTGAACACTCAGACCAACTGTAGAACACTCAGACCAACATGTTGAACACTCAGACCAACATGTTGAGCACTCAGACCAACTGTAGAACACTCAGACCAACATGTAGAACACTCAGACCAACATGTAGAACACTCAGACCAACATGTAGAACACTCAGACCAACATGTAGAACACTCAGACCAATATGTAGAACACTCAGACCAACATGTAGAACACTCAGACCAACTGTAGAACACTCAGACCAACTGTAGAACACTCAGACCAACTGTAGAACACTCAGACCAACTGTAGAACACTCAGACCAACTGTAGAACACTCAGACCAACATGTAGAACACTCAGACCAACATGTAGAACACTCAGACCAACTGTAGAACACTCAGACCAACATGTAGAACACTCAGACCAACATGTAGAACACTCAGACCAACTGTAGAACACTCAGACCAACATGTAGAACACTCAGACCAACATGTAGAACACTCAGACCAACTGTAGAACACTCAGACCAACTGTAGAACACTCAGACCAACTGTAGAACACTCAGACCAACTGTAGAACACTCAGACCAACATGTAGAACACTCAGACCAACATGAAGGACACACAGAGACCAACGAAGATAGAGACCAGGAGACCATGGAAGACAGAGACCAGGAGACCAACAAAGAAAGAGACCAGGAGACCAACAATGAAAGAGACCAGGAGACCAACAAAGACAGAGACCAGGAGACCAACAAAGAAAGAGACCAGGAGATCATGGAAAACAAAGACCAGGAGACCATGGAAAACAGAGACCAGGAGACCATGGAAGACAAAGACCAGGAGACCAACAAAGACAGAGACCAGGAGACCATGGAAGACAGAGACCAGGAGACCAAGAATGAAAGAGACCAGGAGACCAACATAGACAGAGACCAGGAGAACAACATAGACAGAGACCAGGAGACCAACATAGACAGAGACCAGGAGACCAACATAGACAGAGACCAGGAGACCAACATAGACAGAGACCAGGAGACCAACATAGACAGAGACCAGAAGACCAACATAGACAGAGACCAGGAGACCAACAAAGACAGAGACCAGGAGACCAACAGAGACCAGGAGACCAACATAGACAGAGACCAGGAGACCAACATAGACAGAGACCAGGAGACCAACATAGACAGAGACCAGGAGACCAACATAGACAGAGACCAGCAGACCAACAAAGACAGAGACCAGGAGACCAACAGAGACCAGGAGACGAACAAAGACAGAGACCAGGAGACCAGGAGACCAACAGAGACCAGGAGACCAGGAGACCAACAGAGACCAGGAGACCAACAAAGACAGAGACCAACAGACCAACAGAGACCAGGAGACCAACAGAGGCCAACAGACCAACAGAGACCAGGAGACCAGCAGACCAACAGAGATCAGGAGACCAACAGTGACAGAGACCAGCAGACCAACAGAGACCAACAGACCAACAGAGACCAGCAGACCAACAGAGACCAGGAGACCAACAGTGACAGAGACCAGCAGACCAACGGACCAACAGAGACCAGTAGACCAACAGAGACCAGGAGACCAACAGTGACAGAGACCAGCAGACCAACAGAGACCAACAGACCAACAGAGACCAGCAGACCAACAGAGACCAGGAGACCAACAGTGACAGAGACCAGCAGACCAACAGAGACCAACAGACCAACAGAGACCAACAGAGACCAGCAGACCAACAGAGACCAACAGACCAACAGAGACCAGCAGACCAACAGAGACCAACAGACCAACAGAGACACAGAGACCAGCAGACCAACAGAGACCAACAGACCACTAAAGATAATCTAAAAGTTCTCAGCTAACTTGTGCTGCTAAATATGATATAATAATGAGAGTGACTGAGGCTTGCCGTCAACATCACCGTAAACATGTATAAATCATGGCCCAATAAGAGTGTGTTTCAATGATGTTCTAAGCTGGTGCATATAAAGCTCTTCCCTCCCTGTACCGCCTTATCTAGCTGGGAAAAGACTGTGTTTGATAGCTAGTTAGATGAATAGAGTCTTAGTTTAGGGAGAAGTTAGAGGAAGGAAGTTGTATTGAAATATGGACTCTCCACACTTAGGAATGTCACGTCGTGGAATGTACATTACCCATGGCCAGGATTCGAACCGGCGACGCTGTGTCTCGAAAGAACACGTCCACCACAGCATCCACGGTATACGTATAGCCCTGAGGACGTGTAGAGCCCTTGCTGCGTCTTAATAATATGTCTTGCTCGGTCACAGCTCTCACCCTCCCTCCCCCACTCCAAGCCAACACCAAAATTAGTCACACAAAGTCAAAAAACTAACTCATGTGCTATCTAATATGATGATAACATGCTGGTAGTGTAATAGTATGCTGATATCAATCTTAGAGTAGCATGATAATGTATGCATTAGTTGGGGTTCGCGGGGTCCCCCATGGCTGGTGGCATTTCATGACAATTGTTAACTATATACCCCACATATATGTATATATTGGAGTATATAGTGTAACTATATACTGCACCAGTTACAAGTGTGTGTGTGTAGAGGCCCTCACCTCACACACACCTCACAAGACATCATCCTCATCTTCTCATATGTGACGAACACACACACCAGAGGCCATTTATGAGTTACATCATCACATGAAGATCGCTCGTTAGACACTAACTTGCCTGCCTTAACTACCAATTTGACTTCCCCCTTTCCTTTATGTTTTGAATTTAGTTCTTAATGTTCTCTGTGATAAATGTTTGGTTTGGTTCACTAATATTAGAAGATGTTTTTCTTTTCCCATCGTCTTGAGACTACTTTAAGAGCCTTGTGTTAAGTGATAGTTAGATAGTTAAGTATATGAGTTAATTAGTTGATGGCTGATAATGCGGCTCGTGTAGTGAGCTTCTGGCCATTGTGCACGCTACTTGTGTCTGACTTGTACAGCTGTGTACGTGGGGTGTACACGCCTTGTACAGCTGTGTACGTGGGGTGTACACGCCTTGTACAGCTGTGTGTGTGTGGGTGTATACACCTTGTACAGCTGTGTGTGGGTGTACATGCCTTGTACAGCTGTGTGTGTGTGTGTATACACCTTGTACAGCTGTGAACGTGGGTGTACACGCCTTGTACAGCTGTGAGTGGGTGTACACGCCTTGTACAGCTGTGTGTGGGTGTACACGCATTGTACAGCTGTGTGTGTATACACCTTGTACAGCTGTGTGTGGATGTACACGCCTTGTACAGCTGTGTTCGTGGGTGTACACACCTTGTACAGCTGTTTGTGTGGGTGTACATACCTTGTACAGCTGTGTGCGTGGGTGTACACACCTTGTACAGCTGTGTACGTGGGTGTACACACCTTGTACAGCAGTGTACGTGGGTGTACACACCTTGTACAGCTGTGTGTGTGGGTGTACAGAACTTGTTCAGCTGTGTATGTGGGTGTACACACCATGTACAGCTGTGTGTGGGTGTACACACCTTGTACAGCTGTGTACGTGGGTGTACACACCTTGTACAGTTGTGTGTGTGGGTGTACACACCTTGTACAGCTGTGTACGTAGGTTTACACACCTTGTACAGCTGTGTACGTGGGTATACACACCTTGTAAAGCTGTGTGTGTGGGTGTACATACCTTGTACAGCTGTGTGTGGGTGTACACAACTTGTACAGCTGTGTGTGTGTGGGTGTACACACCTTGTACAGCTGAGTGTGTGTGGGTGTACACACCTTGTACAGCTGTGTGTGGGTGTACACGCCTTGTACAGCTGTGTGTGTGTGGTATACACACCTTGTACAGCTGTGTGTGTATGTGTGGGTGTACACACTTTGTAGAGCTGTGTGTGGATGTACATGCCTTGTACAGCTGTGTGTGTGTGTGGGTGTACACACCTTGTACAGCTGTGTGTGTGTGGGTGTACACACTTTGTACAGCTGTGTGTGGGTGTACAGGCCTTGTACAGCTGTGCGTGTGTGTGGGTGTACACACCTTGTACAGCTGTGTGTGTGTGGGTGTACACACTTTGTACAGCTGTGTGTGTGTGTGTGGGTGTACACACCTTGTACAGCAGTGTACGTGTGTGTACACACCTTGTACAGCTGTGTGTGTGGGTGTACAGAATTTGTTCAGCTGTGTATGTGGGTGTACACACCTTGTACAGCTGTGTGTGTGTGTGGGTGTACACACCTTGTACAGCTGTGTACGTGGGTGTACACACCTTGTACAGTTGTGTGTGTGGGTGTACACACCTTGTACAGCTGTGTACGTGGGTTTACACACCTTGTACAGCTGTGTGCGTGTGGGTGTACATACCTTGTACAGCTGTGTGTGGGTGTACACGCCTTGTACAGCTGTGTGTGTGTGGTATACACACCTTGTACAGCTGTGTGTGTGTGTGTGGGTGTACACACCTTGTACAGCTGAGTGTGTGTGGGTGTACACACCTTGTACAGCTGTGTGTGGGTGTACACGCCTTGTACGGCTGTGTGTGTGTGGTATACACACCTTGTACAGCTGTGTGTGTGTGTGTGGGTGTACACACTTTGTACAGCTGTGTGTGGATGTACATGCCTTGTACAGCTGTGTGTGTGTGGGTGTACACACCTTGTACAGCTGTGTGTGTGTGGGTGTACACACTTTGTACAGCTGTGTGTGGGTGTACATGCCTTGTACAGCTGTGCGTGTGTGTGGGTGTACACACCTTGTACAGCTGTGTGTGTGTGGGTGTACACACTTTGAACAGCTGTGTGTGTGTGTGTGTGTGGGTGTACACACCTTGTACAGCTGTGTGTGTGTGTGGGTGTACACACCTTGTACAGCTGTGTGTGTGTGGATGTACACTCCTTGTACAACTGTGTGTGTGTGTGGGTGTACACACCTTGTACAGCTGTGTGTGTGTGGGTGTACACACCTTGTACAGCTGTGTGTGTGTGGGTGTACACACCTTGTACAGCTGTGTGTGTGTGTGTGGGTGTACACACCTTGTACAGCTATGTGTGTGTGTGTGTGGGTGTACACACCTTGTACAGCTGTGTGTGTGTGTGGGTGTACACACCTTGTACAGCTGTGTGCGTGTGTGTGGGTGTACACACCTTGTACAGCTGTGTGTGTGTGGGTGCACACACCTTGTACAGCTGTGTGTGTGTGTGTGGGTGTGCACACTTTGTGCAGCTGTGTGTGTGTGTGTGGGTGTACACACCTTGTACAGCTGTGTGTGTGTGTGGGTATACACACCTTGTACAACTGTGTGTGTAGGTGTACACACCTTGTACAGCTGTATGTGTGGGGTGTACACACCTTGTACAGCTGTGTGTGTGTGGGTGTACACACCTTGTACAGCTGTGTGTGTGGGTGTACACACCCTGTACAACTGTGTGTGAGTGGGTGTACACACCTTGTACAGCTTTGTGTGTGGGTGTACACGCTTTGTACAGCTGTGTATGTGTGGGTGTACACACCTTGTACAGCTGTGTGGGAGTACACACCTTGTACAGCTGTGTGTGTGGGTGTACACGCTTTGTACAGCTGTGTATGTGTGGGTGTATACACCTTGTACAGCTGTGTGTGTGTGTGTGTGTGGGTGTACACACCTTGTACAGCTGTGTGGGTGTACACACCTTGTACAGCTGTGTGTGGATGTACACGCCTTGTACAGCTGTGTGTGTGGGTGTACACACCTTGTACAGCTGTGTGTGTGGGTGTACACACCTTGAACAGCTGAGTATGTGTGGGTGTACACACCTTGTACAGCTGTGTGTGCGTGTTTGTGGGTGTACAAACCATGTACAGCTCTGTGTGTGGGTGTACACACCTTGTACAGCTGTGTATGTGTGGGTGTACACACCTTGTGCAGCTGTGTGTGTGTGTGTGTGTGTGTGGATGTACACACCTTGTACAGCCGTGTGGGTGTACACACCTTGTACAGCTGTGTGTGTGGGTGTACACGCTTTTACAGCTGTGTATGTGTGGGTGTACACACCTTGTACAGCTGTGTGTGTGTGTGTGTGGGTGTACACACCTTATACAGCTGTGTGGGTGTACACACCTTGTACAGCTGTGTGTGGGTGTACACGCCTTGTACAGCTGTGTGTGTGGGTGTACACACCGTGTACAGCTGTGTGTGTGGGTGTACACACCTTGTACAGCTGTGTGTGTGGGTGTACACACCTTGTACAGCTGTGTGTGTGTGTGTGTGGGTGTACAAACCTTGTACAGCTCTGTGTGTGGGTGTATACACCTTGTACAGCTGTGTGTGTGTGGGTGTACACACCTTGTATAGCTGTGTATGTGTGGGTGTACACACTTTGTACAAACAGCTGTGTGTGTGTTTGTGTGGGTGTACACATCTTGTACAGCTGTGTGTGTGTGTGTGTGTGTGTGTGTGTGTGTGTGTGTGTGTGTGTGTGTGTGTGTGTGTGTGTGTGTGTGTGTGTGTGTATGTACACACCTTGTACAGCTGTGTGTGTGGGTGTACACGCCGTGTACAGCTGTGTGTGTGGGTGTACACACCTTGTACAGCTGTGTGTGTGGGTGTACACACCTTGTACAGCTGTGTGTAAGTGGGTGTACACACCTTGCACAGCTGTGTATGTGTGGGTGTACACACTTTGTACAGACAGCTGTGTGTGTGTGTGTGTGGGTGTACACTTCTTGTACAGCTGTGTGTGTGTGTGTGTGTGTGTGGGTGTACACACCTTGTACAGCTGTGTGTGTGTGTGTGGGTGTACACACCTTGTATAGCTGTGTGTGTGTGTGTGTGTGTGTGTGTGTGTGTGTGTGTGTGTGTGTGTGTGTGTGTGTGTGTGTGTGTGTGTGTGTACTCACCTATTTGTACTCACGTATTTGTGCTTGCGGGGGTTGAGCTTTGGCTCTTTGGTCCCGCCTCTCAACTATCAATCAACTGGTGTACAGATTCCTGAGCCTACTGGGCTCTATCATATCTACATTTAAAACTGTGTATGGAGTCAGCCTCCACCACATCACTGCCTAATGCATTCCATCCGTTAACTACCCTGACACTGAAAAAGTTCCTTCTAGCGTCTCTGTGGCTCATGTGGGTACTCAGTTTCCACCTGTGTCCCCTTGTTCGCGTCCCACCAGTGTTGAATAGTTTATGTGTGTGTGTGTGTGTGTGTGTGTGTGTGTGTGTGTGTGTGTGTGTGTGTGTGTGTGTGTGTGTGTGTGTGTGTGTG